AAGATAATAAAGAAAAATGCACAAAACTAAAATTCCAAACTATCTGAAGAGCTCAAGGAATGCCATGCACCTCTGGCAGGCAAAATGACAGCATAGGATAAAGAATACCATTTTTGGAATGAAATGTAATCTTCTCATGAAATTGTCAGAGATTTACCACCAGACTTTACTCGTGTACAATACACTTGCCTTTAATTATAGGAGAGATACAATTACAAGGAAAGATTTATGTACTTATATGAGTAAAACCAAAGGAGAAAAGCACCTAAGGAAGGATGGGGCAATAAAAATACAATTATCCAAACAACGTAGGAATAACCAAAGAAGTAAATTTCAAAAAAGAGAAAAACAGATTTCTTTTTATAAACTTCTAAAGATACCTCTTTTCTAGCTTATAAAGCTCATACACCTACTATCAGCTTATAGAGCTCATACGCCTACTATCAAGTAGTTTCATAGTCTTATTGACGTAGGTTTGATTCAAAATATTCAAATTCCTTGTTCCACTACCATATTAGTTCTCAAACATGGCTAACGCAGGAAAAGAAGGAAAATGATCGGTTTTATTAAAAGTTGTTATTTCAGAAAAGGAATTAGCGCGATTGCACGCTTAGCCTATTGGTTTCCACGCCCACCTCTAATGTTGGGGTCTAGAGAGTAACTAACCTTGATATTTGTGGAGATGTCCTCCATGTGATTGTCTGATATCTGTAAATATATTTCCAGTAGGGAAAAAAAAAAAAACAATGTAAGACTACAACCATTGATTTCCACACATGACGTTTAGAAACAAAATTTTGTGAACTCTATGTAGCATGATTATTGATGGCTGCATTTGACTGGACTAGAACAGTAGAAGCATGTCATTCAATTCCATTTTACAACAACTAGCAAGAGAAGTTCAACTCAACTTAAAATTTTATGCGGGTTACTGCTATTAACTATTAAGAGCAGCTTGCTGACATAATAGAGTAACATTATAGAAGGCTTACTTTTAGCTCAAAAGCTGATGGGTTTTGAGATGCTATTTTTTCCTTGAATTTTCTGAAAGTGCCTAAAACACCCCCCAAAAAAAAAAGTTAAGCATAAAAAGATAAATAAATTCTCAGGGAATCAAGGTCTGAAAACTTATATCTAGCAGAGAAAATAAAAGCTTATTATAGAACTCAATACATTTTCAAAAGAGCTAAATTCTTTTGTTCCACTTTTTCTTATTTTTTTCAATTATACAATCTGTTGACTATGAAATAACAGCACAAATTTAGCAGTTTCACTTCTACACATGGACATTCACTAGCTAGCACAAAAACCCATTCATCTACGAAGCAAAACTTTGTTCTAAAAGTAATTAACCTATCAAAAGAATGAGTAGACCAAGTTCCACATTTCTGCTTAGAATTAAAAAAAAAAAAAAAAAAAAAAAGCTCCATATTTCTGAGCATAATTTCTTGAGCTACAAGAACTAGTTACCATCCCTAACAAACACTAACTCATTTATCTTCTTTACCATATTCGCCATTCACAATCGTTCGACCAAAACCGTGTTCTAGAATGTAATGCCAAAATTCATTTTGGCACTTTCACGTCTTCAATTTCTACTGAATTGGCAAGTTGATCTCTTTTAAATTGTGGCAAAATTACCCCGTGAGATTAACACAATGTTATAGCGTACCCCAAAATCGATGAATAACGTTAAAATTTGGAAAGAGTAAAAAGAAAGAGTGCCCCGTGAACATGAAATGATTTGTTCCGATCGTCATATGCACGTAGCGTGCACGAGGGCATTTTCGTTAAAACTCTTAACAGTCATAAATCAATTTGCAGGCACTCGACAACAGTAATTTGTTAAAAGTTTAGGGGTAACAAGCTAACCCAAAAATTTTTAGCCCATTCCAAAATTGAGAGTCGAACAACAATACATAATTCCTTAAAACTCATATACAAGACTAATTCAAAGTTTTAATTTTGGAATTTACCATCGCGTTTTTGGTAATCTTCATCTGAAATCTTGTACTTCTCGACAAGCGAAGTGTCCTCCAACCACCCACCGGACGTCACCGACGACGGGTCCAGATCTATCACGTGTATCCGATACCTTTCACCACCAATTCAAACCATATTTCACTTTTTTTTTTCTGTTTCATCAGGAAAATTTTTTTAAAAAAAAACAATCATAGACTGAGTAACTAACCCATCGAGAGGAGAATAGAATCCAAGAGGTCTGGAATTATCAGACAAATTTGAGATTTTGGAATTGGTGTCGTCGTAAAGCTCTAGAGACATCGAATTCACGGAAGTTCCGCATTTCCGCCATAGCTTATCCTTGACGCCCTCCACGGTCGTCTGACGCAGAAGAATGAATCGTTAATGCCAAAGCGGAAAATACTCAAGAATCGAGAAAAAGAAAAAAAAAAGGAGAAGATTGAGATGTTCATGGAGGAAATACCTGTAGGGAGAAGCGGACATCGGAGGAGAAGGTCTTGAGATTAGAATGGGTAACGCGCAGGAGCACTGAGTCATCTCCTTCGATCTTCTGCAATTGAGACGCCATTGCCACACTCTCGAAACTCTCGAGAGCTCCTCACTTCGCTCGCTTTGTCGTTTTTTATATTTTGTTGTTGTTTATTCTAGCGTTTTAATTTAGCTTAGTTTGGTTATTACTGTGTCTTTTATTTTACCTTCCTTTAATTTATTCGACTTTAAAATTTAAATTTTATTATAATAAAATTATTTTAAAAAATTATTTTTAATTTTTTTATAATAAAAAATTTTCATATAAAAATACATTTTAATTTAAATTAAAAAATTAAATAAATCTTTAATTATTATTTTTTAAATGAGCTATAAATAAAAACTTATTTATTGTATTAAAAAGATTTTAAATATTTTGATAATTAAATTAAAATCTAGACCGATAAAATTGTGTTTGGTCTATTTTGCTGCTATCACTTTTCTTTTGTTTTTTGCTTTTTGTATTTTGTTTTTCTTTTTTTTTTTTGCTTTTTTTTATATTTACAAAAATGAATCTCAAAAAATTTTTAAAAAAAAATAAAACATTGACTTTTTTTTATAATCAAAACATTGATCTTTTTAGAAATGGTTAAATTGTAACCCCGTTTATTTCTCCGATTCGAGTTTAAAATTCAAATTTTATTATAGTAAAAAGCTCTAAAAAATAATTACATTTAACTTTTTTACTACAATAAAAAACTCTCATATAAAATCACATCTCAACTCAAATTAAAAATTTAAATTAATGAATTAAATAAGCCCACTTACATTGTTTATAATTTATTATTAGTTGAACAATATAAGATGGTAAATTAACTGATTTTGATAAATAATTTAACAGTTTATTAACCATCAGTAAATCAATGACAAACTCGCCTATTAATGACGAATCATAATATTAGAACAAGCGGCGAACTGTGGTTTGTTGCTAACTGTGTGTGGCAGGCCTACTATTTAATGTGCTCCCTAAAATTTGCATTGGGTACTCTCATATTATAGAGTACATAAAAGACATTGTTAGACTAGACAGACCAATAATAGCATTTTATACTTACAAAACGCTTAAATCAATCATGTTTAAACGAAAATCAGAAATATTGTGAAGTAAAATGCAGAATAATTAAAAAAATATAACGATATGGTAGCCAAAATTCCTTTCGGAAAAAAATCACGTGTGTTGATCACACCAACACAAAGAGGACTTCACTGTCACCAAATAGTTATAAAGCTTAGAATTACAAAAAACCTCTTGAATCTACATCAACTCCTAACTCACGGTGACTCCTCTTGACTCGTCTTCAGACTCATCGCCTTACTCCGAGTCTTCTGCTCCCCTTTGGTCCTCCTGGCCTACTCCGAGCACGATGTCCGCCTAACCTACTCCGATAGCTACAATCCGCATGCGGCTCCTCCTCAGACCTACTTCATATCCTCACAAAGTCCGTAAACTACAGGGTCTAAGAGTTACAAATGAAGCCTAACAAAAGCTCTGGTTTTCTCTCAAGCTCAAGCACAAAATGAGAACACTCGATTTTTTCACTCAATGAATTCACAATTTTTTAGTCCGTGCTCTCTACAAATGATAGCCACAATGTGACCTCCTTAAATAGTGAACTATCCGGATATGAGAAAGGTCTATAATCTCTCCACTTGATCTGGGTTGGGACCTGATTGCAACTCCTCACTAAATTTCGGATGCACAAAATCTTTCCATTTTAAGTCTTCTCAAAATTTCAGCTGTCATTGTATGAACATATTTGAAATCCTTTGCAATGTGCGGAGAGATAACTAGCTCATTGACTGGACAAAGTATCTGATCCTGCAGCTATCAAAATACTAAAGACAGACAACTCATGATCTATTAATTAAATTGCAATTAATTATAATTTCAATCAGATATGACATAGATCAGAACAATCTTGAAAGAAATGTCCAGAAAACATAATCAATGATTGAATTGATCTTTAATGAACCTAGATTCAATTATGCACAAAGGTCAAATCCACATACTCCAAAATTCTAAGAAATTACTAAAAATAAATGAGATAAATTTGTGACCAGCAAATTAAAAATATATTCTCATATAATCAACAATCATAACCTTATCAACATGTGTTAAAAGCCAATATAATCTTCATTTATTCAATCAAATGGGACTATTTATGGAAACAAATCAACCAAATAAGAAAACAAAGTGTAAAAATAACAACACACAATTAAATTGATTTGATACAAGGTTGCTAACAAAAATGCACAAATCCCACGCTAATCACAAATTTTACATAGGAAGATTTGTGCCACATAAGATTAAAAATCCTAACGGACATTACAAACACCAATTCACATAGACCGTGTTTGGAATTGATCCCGTTTTTATTTTTTACGTTTTTTGAGAAAAAAAATGAAAACGTTTCTAAAACGGCGTTTGGCGTAATAAAGACAAAAAATAGAAATAAAAATGATTTTTTAGTTTAGTGTAAAATGAGAGAAAAATGAAAATGACTTTTAGTCGTTTTTCATTTTTTATTTTCGTTTTCTCCTCTCTCGAGCAGAGAGAGAGAGCATTAATAGGTTTTTTTATACTAAAAACAATCTCTTAATAAAATTATTAAATGTATTTTCAAAAATAATTTTTATCTGAGATTGAAAATGTTCTCATTTTTTTTCATACAAAAAATAAAATTATTTTAAAATAAATTCTAAACGTAGTCTCTCACCGTAAAAAAATATGGCTCCGACGGAGACAATCACTTTTATTGGGAAACTCGAATAAAATGCTCAATAAAAAACAATATGGCTTTGACGGAGACAATCAATTTTATTGGTACTAAAGATTGAGCAGACACATAACTTGAAAAATAAAATAAAATATGTTTAGTCGATGGATATGTTCGATCTAGTGCTGGAACTTTGGACGGGCCGCCCGTGACCGCCCAAAAAGTCCGAGGATTTGCCTGAGCCCGAACCCGACCCGCTCGAGATTTTCGGGCCGCCCGCTCGAGCCCGAATTTCACCTTGAACGGGCCGCGGGCTT